AGTTATAATGTTGGTGTTATGTTGGTGGGTTCGAGCCTGTCGATGGCTCGGAACCTTGGTGGGGTTGGGGTATCCGGGTATACCCCTACCAGGAGGCGTTTAAGTTATGTTGAATTTAAATGGTGTATATTTATGTTGAATTGTATATGTATATCTATATGTCGTTATATCGTTATAAGAATATTTACAATATGGATCATTGCCTTATTATTATGATGTATGGGATATGTATTGTTAATACATGATTGGGTGGGGGCGGGCGATGACTTTTAAAATGTTTCATTGTATATATGTCATATTGTTCAATAAATCTGTGGACGTATTAACATATGCCTCTGAGTTTAGGTTTATTGGGTAAAGGTTGGGGTGTGGGTTGTAAGGGGTCCTCTCATCTTGCCCATATGACGACAATGCACCTGTAATGGAGCCCCATGGAACTTGAACAGCATATGCATGGTTGGCTGGGGGCAGGCAATGACTTTTAAAATGTTTCATTGTATATATTTCATATTGTTAAAAAAAGCTGTGGACAAATTGACCCATACCTCCGAGTGGATGGTTTATTAGGTCAAGGGTGGGGGGTGGGTTGTTAGGGGTCCTCTCCTCCTGCCCATATGGCGACAATGCACCTGTCAAGTATTTCACCAATATTGTATGCACATTTAGCTGTTAATATTTTAGATAAAATAATAGGGTAGGCAAACTTTTCACTTGTATACAAAAAAAAATTCTTTACCCACCCCCTCTCTTTTTCTATGTATTACTCCCCTAGCAGCAAACACCTTAATGTAACTGTGTTATTCTCACCATTCCTGTTCAGATGCTTTTCATTTTTCAAACCATCCAACAGAAATTTTCAGTAAGTACAACCCACCCTACTTCCAGCTTGCTTTGTAGCATACTACTCCAACTGCTTGACATCTCACTTAATTGTATCCACATTCCCTTTACAAGTTACCATTGGCAGTAGTTAGACTATTCTCTTTGGCAATCACCTTCAAATTCCCCCCTGCTATCCCTTGCCTCGGCTCCTCCTTTTAACATTTAGATTGTCAGCTCACTGGGTGTCTAGCCAAGTAATTTGTATAAAAGAGTATTAGGCTATAGCACAGCTCATGGAGAGTATTTTTTTACCATTCATATTGGTCTGTGTATATTATACTGTCTTTATCCCCAACTGTACAGCACTGCAGATTTTTTTGACACTTTATAAATGCTAGTAATAATATTAACAATCATAATAACAATAATGTTAAATATATATGTGTGGCAAAACCAGCCTCGCCACTGTCCACTGGAGGTTGCTCGTCTGCTTCCTTTAGACTATGGCCCGGCAGTTAAAACCTTTTATTTTCCCTCCAGAAAAGCGTATTCGTGCCTTTCTGCAGACTTTTAAAGCCATGCTACCCCAGATAGCTATGCCATGGAGCCCAGCCGTATACTGAAAGACTGTATGAAAGACTTTGGCTCCATGGCGATTGAACTGTATGTACGTGATCTGAGCGCCATCCGGTAATAATGTGCGCTCAGATCTAAGCTATCTGGGGATAGGTAGAATGTGTATGTTCTATGTGATAAATGTAACCTGGTGTATTTTATTGTATTTTACTGTCTTTTTACTGCCATGTGCTTAATGGAGTTTTCTCCTCTGTCCTTGGAGATAATTGGATTACTTCCCAATTATCTCCAGGATAGAAGACTCTGTGGAACTGGTTTTGGGCAGAAAAGCCATGCTTCATTTGGTCATAAAGGACTTCGATCTATCTTTTGAACCAATGGACCAGTTTGGATGATTTTGACATATGTTTGTATTTGGAGTATGCTGATTCTGAAATTTTTATGGAGATTGGATGTGTGGTTTAAAGTTACAGGATATGTGTAAAACTGTATTTTTACTGCCTGTGTTAATTATGTTAAACCATTGTGTAACATAATTAGATCACAGGCAGAGGGGAGGATTTTTGTATGTACTTGCTGGGAGTGTTTCTGTAATATACGTGTATGATTGGTTGTTTTGTAAAACCCTGTGGGTGGTCCTATCTAAGGGAAACCTGGATAAAAGAAGGTTCTTTTGGTGCCAGTAAACATATTCTGCTTAACCCTCAAACAAAGTGTTGTCTCTTTATTGGGGGAATTGGATGGTATGCTGACTGCCAGGAGTGTAAACCTTGCATATGGTTTTTCCTGTTCAGCTGTTTCCAGTATTCGTGTGTCTCCAGTTCGGGAGATTGGTGATTGCAGTAGCTGTTTGTGCATCTGAGAGGGGAATATCGCCTAAACGGTTTTTAAACTCTTGTGGGCTAAACGGTCCGTTACAATATGCAAAAATAAAAATAAGCAAAATGAAAAGTACAGGTATGCATTGGATGCTATTCAGAAAGCACAAAAAAATCCAACTCAACAAAAAGTCAAACCAGATTAAAACTAAAAGCAGTTAAGCCACTAGCAATTTGCAGTGACAAATGATATAGCAGTAAAGTGCAAGTTGTGACATTAAATGAATATGGTGATAAAGCTGATGGATCCTGTCATGAGTAGTGATCTTGAAAACATAATTCTTACATAGCTACATAATAACATAGCTGAAAATGGACATGTGTCGTTCAAGTTTAGCCTTTCTCACATGTGTTTTTGCTGTTGATCCAAAAGAAGGAAAATACCCAATTGTACAAAAACTAGGAAAAAAATTTCATCTTGAACCCAGAAAGACAGTCAGATATCTCCTTGGACCAAACCGCTATTACCCCACTAATTAAAAAGTATATCCCTGAATATTATGTTTTTGCAAGTATTTATCCAATTGCTGTTTAAAAATCGGTTTAGACTCTGATAAAACCACCTCTTCATACAGACAGTGATCAATAATACCATAAGTATTATATAATTTTTCTATTTTTTCTATAATAGGCACATCATGGTTTCAAATACTGTACTAAAGGTGAGAGATGTTACACCATGCATCAAAACAATAATGTGATTAACACTGTCTTACATATATCCTAGCTGCCTAAAATTAGTGCAACATGTGTAGAGTGTAGGATGATCACTCTTTGTAATTGTGCTGGGTGCATCATCCCAGGTTTTCTAGGCTCACTCTGGTCCTTATACCATATAGCAAATGACTCCATATTGTTTAAATACCAAATGGGAAATATATCCCAGCCAATGAACAAAGATGTGTATGATTGGCTTAGTTTAGTAGAGCTAACAGGAAGCTCCTTGCTTTTGGCATCAGGAAAGGCAGCAAGTGCACGGGGTAGGACCCAGTTAGGTATTCAAATGTTTGACTGTGGCTATGGTAGTTGAAATATTTCTTTCACTGCATTTTTCATTAAGCATACAAATACTCCAAGATCACAAAAGTTAACTATAAATTCAAATGGATACATTTTGTAAAGATTTGACCTAGTTGTTTGACTTTTTTATAGTGTTAGACTGATAATAAGAGGTTTAAATGTGGGTCATCAATCTGGTGTGTTCCAAATCGACATTCATAAGCATGTGATGTTTATTTTAGAATGCTCTCTTTAAACATATTGAGCAGTGTGTACATGTGTGTTTGTTATTTTCACTATGTTGTTGTTGTTATAGTGCTTATTTGTCCCTTAATTGTTTAATCGATTAATTATATATCAGTATAGATTAGGTGATATTGTTTGCAAGTTAGGGAGGTGGTTGTGGCATTTATTTTGTAAATTTGTGAGCTATTGGTAGATTGTAGGAAAAGTTTTTTAGTAGTGAATTTGCTAAATGTCTGATTCTGTTAATGTGCCCAAAATTTGCTTTAGAAAAATTTACTAAAGTGAAGATTGTTGGGAATTCATAGAGAATTCAAATTTAATTGGTATGTAATGCCAACATAGCTGACTTGGAAGAATTCTCTAACTCGGATAAGGTTCCAGTATGTCTCTTTGTGGCCTTAAAAGTGAAATCCACCTTGAATTAATTTTATGTTTTTGACAGCTCTCACTTCGGTAAAAAAAAAAAAAAAAAAATAGTTTAGTGTTCTCTAACTTTATCAAAAATATTTTTATTTTCTATGAAAGATAGATGGAAACAAGAGTTAGCATCTAAATATCCAAGAGTAAGCCACATCCATCTTTGAAATGTCATCACTTTTCAGGAACATTTCCTGCCTGCCGAGTACTGGTTTTATAAATGGGCACCTGCCAGGACTCTGTGATACAACGTAGCAACCAAACTGGGACCTCATTAATATAGCAAGGATAAGGTAGGTAAACTAGGTTTGGATTACTGTCCACATGCAGTGATGTTTTTTTTAAACATTACTTAAGAACAAATTTGAACTGTCATTATCTGTCTGTTACGCTTGTGACATAATATTTTTGCACACATTGCAGACATCATAACTGTCTGCTCAACACGTAAGTTTTATAAATATTTGTGACCTGTTTCATAACTGTTGCAGAAAATAGAAAGTTTTGACAACTTCTGAAAATAGCCATTGCATGAAAAGTTCCAAAGCAGGCAGGTCGTGGACCAAATTTCCATTATAAATTTTGTGACATTCATATTTTTATTGAGTTCCATTTATATACGTACAACACCAATAACATGTACAACATTTAAACATAACATACGTTTGAAGAATAGACCATCAAAACACTGATCACTATAATAAGCTTTTAGAAGAAAATAAACTAGCTTTGAGAAAAAGAAAACACAAAAAAATATATATAAATAAAAAAATTAAAAAAGGTGTCACTACTCTGGAATTACTATTGGATAAAACTGGTTAAACTTTTTTTTTGAGATGCTTTATTTTTTTATTTTAAACACAATTATATTTTATATAATATGTACCGTATATACTCGAGTATAAGACGAGTTTTTCAGCACATTTTTTGTGCTGAAAAACCCCCACTCATCTTATACCCGAGTCAATGTCTGTATTATGGCAACTTACACTGCTGGGCTCATCACAAGCCCGGCGGTCCTGTTGGGGGCTGGCAGAGAGCTGTTACTTACCTTTCCTGCAGCTCCTGTCAGCTCCCTTCTCTCTCCTCCGTTCCGGTCAGCTCCACTGCAAGTCTCGCGGGACTTACAGTGGAGCTGACCAGAACAGAGGACAGAGAAGGGAGCTAACAGGAGCTGCAGGAAAGGTAACAGCTTTCTGCCAGCCCCCCTCCTACACAGCCCATCCACTGGACCACCAGGAAATGAGAGCCCCCCTCCCTGGCCAGCTAACAAGCAGGGAGGGGAACAAATAAAAATATAAATAATAATTTAAATAAAATAAAATTAATAATATAAACAAATAATAAAATAATAATGTAACAAAAAAAATATTAAAATAATAATTTTAAAAAATAAAAATGCCCACCCTCCACCAAGGCTCTGCATCACATACACAAACACACTCTGCACTCATACATACACACTGCATTCATACACACATTGCATGCATTATATACACACTGTAAATAAATATTCAATATAATTTTTGGAGGATATAATTTTATTTAGAAATTTACCAGTAGCTGCTGCATTTCCCACCCTAGTCTTATACTAGAGTCAATAAGTTTTCCCAGTTTTTTGGGGTAAAATTAGGGGTCTCGACTTATATTCGGGTCAGCTTATATTCGAGTATATACGGTAATGATATTATATAAATAAAAATAAATAAAACAAATTTAGCAAATAGCAGCACAGTCCAGTTCCAGTCTGGAACAGCCAGGGCAAACTGCAGTTTTTGCAAGCCCTCCCCTTTTTTCCAGTTGTTAAGACGTTCAGTCTCTTCATGAAGAAATAGCCATTTAGAGGCTTCTTACTGAGAAGCCTCTGAATTGGTACCCAGGTGCAAGTGCGCACATGTCTTGTCTGAGTCCTGTGGAGCTGGTCTGAGGTCTTTGAGGGAGAGTGAGGCAGGCACGATCAAGTAGAAGGAAGGATGCTGCACACATCTCTGGCTGCTTGATTGACAGTCGGGGGGGTGTTCACTCGATAATTTTAGAAAACTACAGATTTCTCATAGAAATCAGGACTTTTATAAACTGGGGTTAAATAAGGATACGGTCATGATCTTGAGCAGGTCAGATAGGAGACTTTGGCCAGGGTTGTTATTTGAGACTTTATTGGTGCTGTTAGACATATTATGAAACTTATTATGTTAGACATATTATGAAAACAGAATTAAGGCAATATGCCACTGTGGCAAAACCGACCTCGCCACGTGTCCTTGGAGGGGGCTGCTTGCCCGCCTCTTGCCTTTGGACTATGGCCCTGCAGGTTAAACTGTTTATTTTCCCTGCAGAAAGGCTTATTCGTGTGATCTGAGTGCCATTCATCTAATAATGTGCAGTCAGATCCAAGCTATCTGGGGATATGTAGAAATGTGTGTTTTATGTACTAAATGTGTCAGTATGTAATTTTATGTCTTTTACTGTCTTTTTGTCTGCCATGTGGGTAATGGAGTTTGGCTCTGTCTTTGGAGATAATTAGATTCCTTCTCCAATTATCTCCAGGGCAGAAGGGAGGAAGCCAGGATGCATTGTGGGGATGTTTTACTTTTACTGTTTGAGCCAGGGGGAACAAAAGATACTTTTACTAACTTTTGAACCCCTGGTCTGATTCATGCCATTTTTTAATATGTTGTTCCCCTGAATGGATTGATTGTGAATATGTATTTTTATGCGAATGTGATGTATATTTTGGGAGTTATGAATGTTGTGTAAAAACTGTATTTTCCCTACCTATGATAATTGTATTTCCCTGTGTGTACAGATAATTAGTTTACAGGTAGAGGGGAGGGCTATGTGTGGGATGTAACTATTGTGTGATTGGTTAATGTACGTTACTGTGTGTGTCCCTCCCCTTCATGGGAGCACCTAATAAAAAGGGCTGCAAGCTAGCAGCCAGAGAGTTCTATTTTTACCCTCAACTTGAGTCCTGTCTCTTATTGGGGGAATCTGCTACAAGGGATTGCTATGCTAGGCATATTCCCTTGCTATAATCACTGAGCTCTTGTAAGAGCTTGTTCCTGCTTCGTTCTGAAGGGAGATAGCTGCAGCCTGCGGTGCTTATGGTGTCTGGTGGAGTGCTTGGAGTCCTCTGGAAGCGCTAGGAGCATCTTTCAACGGAGGTACCCAGTCGGGGTGCCAGGTGATCCGTTACATTGGTGGCAAGCGGCGGGATGGCATCCTAGTGCGAGGAGAAGCAGCTCGGAGACACCGGTAACGTGTGGAGTTGTGCAGCGTCCTTATCTTCAGCAACATAATGGAACCAGCAGTGGCTACAGCAAGCATGGCGTATAGCTACTCCGTACTAGAGTTTGGCACGATGGTAGGGTTGCACCTGAAGTTTTACGGACCCAATCCAGAGGAGAAATACGTGCGGTTCGTGTGGGACATGGTGACCCGGAACCTACAACACAGGGCGCTGAGGGAAGGCCAGTGGGCACGTTGGGAGAAACTCCAGCCACAGGTAGAGTGGGACGAGGAAGAAACCGAGGTGGCCGGTGGAGATGGGACCGAGGTCTCTCTACCGGCCCTACAGGGATGCTGGGCACCCGGCCCAGATCCCCAGCGGCAGTATGTTTTACAGGGAGGGGAGACAGTCGGTCTCACTCCCCAGCGGCAGAATGTGTTATTGGAGGAAGAGACAACCGGTCTCCCTCCCCAACAGCAACCAGAGGTACCCGAGGTAGAGGACCTCATAGACTGGTCCTGGGAGGACCCCCTGCAGGCAGGTGGAGATGGGACCGAGATCTCTCCACCGGCCCTACAGGGATGCTGGGCAACCGGCCCAGATCCCCAACTAGAGCTGGAGTTACAGAAAGTGGAGAGCATCGACCTCCCCCCCCAGCAGCAGCCGGAGTACCAGGGGGAGGTAAGTGATATTTCTCCTCCCCAGCCAACTCCTTTGTTCCCTGACCCCCCAGCAGAAGAGCTGGCAACTGGGCAGAGCGCCGCTGGCCTCTGTCCTCCCTTGTTTCCTTCCCCTGAGCCTGACTTTCTACAGGCTGCCCCAGCGGAAGGTGCCGTCCTTCCTCCCCAGCGGCAGTGCGTACCCCAGGGAGCTGATGGTGTCGTCCGTCCTCCCCAGCAGCAGTGTGTAACCCAGGGAGCCGAAGGTGTCGTCCTTCCTCCCCAGCGGCAGTGTGTACCCCAGGGAGCTGAAGGTGTCGTCCTTCCTCCCCAGCGGCAGTGTGTCCTGCAGGGAGCAGAGACCGTCAGTCTCACACCCCAGCAGCAGGACAAAATAATGAAAGGGGAGACAGCTGGTCCGCCTCTCCACCAGCAGAGAGAGTGTCAGGGAGAGGAGCCTGTTAACCCCTCTCCCCAGCGGCAGTTGACAGTCCAGAGAGAGGAGCTTGTTACACCCTCTCTCCAGCGGCAGCCTAACCCACCAAGGGGAGATGTTGAGCCCCGCAACTGTGCAGATGGGACCGTAGTCTCTGCGCTTACAGCCCAAGGGGTAGAGACGGTCGGTCCTGTTCCCCAGCCCCAGAGCTGTGTACCCAGAGGGGAGACGGTCGGTCTCCCCCTCCCACAACCAGGCTCCAATCAGGCTACTTCGGTGGTAGCACTGGCACCAGGGCAGAGTACCGCTGGTCTCTGCCCACTCAGCAACCCACCAAGGCAGTCTACCAGCTCCCCACACAGCCGTGGTGAGGCACCTGGACATGGACAAGTTGCTACTTTATCCAGGTGGAGTAAACATTTATTGTGGGTGGGCTGTACTGCTGTTTGTGCTTCGTGGGTGGGTTGCTGGACTAACCAGGGCACTGACCGGCAGGAGGTCAGATACCCTGTTAGTCTGGGGGGCAAAGGGGAGAAGTGTGGCAAAACCGACCTCGCCACGTGTCCTTGGAGGGGGCTGCTTGCCCGCCTCTTGCCTTTGGACTATGGCCCTGCAGGTTAAACTGTTTATTTTCCCTGCAGAAAGGCTTATTCGTGTGATCTGAGTGCCATTCATCTAATAATGTGCAGTCAGATCCAAGCTATCTGGGGATATGTAGAAATGTGTGTTTTATGTACTAAATGTGTCAGTATGTAATTTTATGTCTTTTACTGTCTTTTTGTCTGCCATGTGGGTAATGGAGTTTGGCTCTGTCTTTGGAGATAATTAGATTCCTTCTCCAATTATCTCCAGGGCAGAAGGGAGGAAGCCAGGATGCATTGTGGGGATGTTTTACTTTTACTGTTTGAGCCAGGGGGAACAAAAGATACTTTTACTAACTTTTGAACCCCTGGTCTGATTCATGCCATTTTTTAATATGTTGTTCCCCTGAATGGATTGATTGTGAATATGTATTTTTATGCGAATGTGATGTATATTTTGGGAGTTATGAATGTTGTGTAAAAACTGTATTTTCCCTACCTATGATAATTGTATTTCCTATGTGTGTGTGTACAGATAATTAGTTTACAGGTAGAGGGGAGGGCTATGTGTGGGATGTAACTATTGTGTGATTGGTTAATGTACGTTACTGTGTGTGTCCCTCCCCTTCATGGGAGCACCTAATAAAAAGGGCTGCAAGCTAGCAGCCAGAGAGTTCTATTTTTACCCTCAACTTGAGTCCTGTCTCTTATTGGGGGAATCTGCTACAAGGGATTGCTATGCTAGGCATATTCCCTTGCTATAATCACTGAGCTCTTGTAAGAGCTTGTTCCTGCTTCGTTCTGAAGGGAGATAGCTGCAGCCTGCGGTGCTTATGGTGTCTGGTGGAGTGCTTGGAATCCTCTGGAAGCGCTAGGAGCATCTTTCAACGGAGGTACCCAGTCGGGGTGCCAGGTGATCCGTTACAGCCACAAAACAGGATACTTGCAAATAATAAAGTCTGTTCTCCAGGCAGGGTTGAAACAAAGGCAGGCTGGCTACAGTGGAGCAGGTTGGTATGGAGCAGGGTTATGGGGAAGTCTGAAGCAGGTTCACAGGAGCCAGGAACTGAAGTCTTTCAGGCAAATCACTGAGCAGGTCAGAGAGGAGACTTTGGCCAGGGTTGTTATTTGAGACTTTAATGGTGCTTTTAGACATATGAAACTTGAGAAAAAAATACAGAATTAAGGCAATATGCCACAAAACAGGATACTTGCAAATAATGAAGAAAGTCTGTGATCTCCAGGTAGGGTTGAAACAAAGGCAGGTTGGTATCAAAGGCAGGCTGGTTACAGTGGAAGGCTGATAACAGAGGCAGGCATGTAACACAGGAGGCCTGGTAACAGAGGCAGAGGTCAAAATCATACGTAAGAATGGAGCAGGTTTGAAGGTAAGTCTAGAGCAGGTTGGTATGGAGCAGGGTTGAAGGTAAGTCTGGAGCAGGTTGGTATGGAGCAGGGTTGAAGGTAAGTCTGGAGCAGGTTGGTATGGAGCAGGGTTGAAGGTAAGTCTGGAGCAGGTTGGTATGGAGCAGGGTTGAAGGTAAGTCTGGAGCAGGGTTGAAGGTAAGTCTGGAGCAGGTTGGTATGGAGCAGGGTTGAGGGTAAGTCTGAAGCAGGTTCACAGGAGCCAGGAACTGAAGTCTTTCAGGCAAATCACCAACTTCAATGTAAAGGCCTTGAGGTTAGTTGGGGGTATCCTTTTGTAGCTGAAGCAAGTAATTAAACATAAGCACGTGAGATTCGAGAACTAGAGGCAAGGGAGGCCACTAGTGGTAAATAATAAAATCAGAGCAGGAACTTGTTTTAAAGGAACAGAAATAAAGGTCACATAAATCTTGTTTGTCAGGATATGATCCTGACAGATACTGCTCACCAATGTAAGGATTGATCCTTTAAGTAACCTAAGACTTGAGATGTTTTAAAGTATGTTACTGAACATTTACTTATAATAAGCAACATAGCCTGTGGGAGTAAGACATATACACATCTGTTATGGAGCCAATTCTATTCCACATGCATGATAGTTGTCTCCTTCTGTTGGCATCTTCAACAATTAAATTTTTTAGTTTTTTTAAAGTTATTCATATGTGGTATAACCTAGTAAGCAGCTTAAATGCCGATTC